TCTGCCCCACTGTGCTGACCATCCTGTGCCACCAACCCCTTCCCTGTGGGCTGGAGCAGCCCTGCCAGCCACAAGGGCTCCTGGCAGACCTGCAGCTGCCCAGGTGTGGGGTCTGTGCTCACAGCAATGGGCTGTGTTGGGGAGCAGGGTGGGGGCTCAGCTGTGCCCCCTGTCCAGCTGCAGGTGCTGCTTGCCCACCTCCCTCGCAGGCCCCATGGCAGGTCTGGGCTCAGGGCCTTGGCCAGGGCTGCTCTGCCCCAACACCCCCTCAAGCTCCAGCAGGAACAAGGAATTGCCAAAGCCTCTGCCAGCACCAGGTGGTGCACAGAGTGGGAGGGGGTGTCAGCCTGGGGGGGCCTGGTGCACCTTGCTGAGCTCACAAACCAGCCCTGGATCACCACAGTGTGTGTGTGTCACTGCTTTGCTCAGCCCCAGTTTGGCCCAGCTGCCCTGAAGGAGCAGAGCAGCACAGGAAGGCTCTGCCCTGGGGCAGAAACTGCTGCAGGGCCCAGCCCAGTGCTCCCACCACTGCACAAACAGCAGGGAGGAACTTGGTATCCTTTTATTTATAAACAATTCAACATAAAATAAGTGCAGAGGAAAGCCCTGGCTGAGCTCCCCAGGCCCTGCTGCAGTGGGACCACCGAGGTGCCCAGGCTGGCACTGGAGCCAGGGGCAGCCCCAGTGCCTGGGCTGGAGCTCAGGCTGAGCTGTACAACAAAAGCCTTTTTGCCTTTTTATTACTTTGGGGTTTGGGGTAGTTTATTTTTTTGCAACTTTGCCCCTTAGGGGTAAACCTGACCCAGTGCAAGAGCCTGGAGAGTTGGTGACCGTGGGGCCCAACCTGCTGCTGGGCAGGGCCTCGAGGCTGGTGCAGAGAGGGTGAGCTCTGGGTGCAGAGAGGAGTCAAGGACAGGAGAAGGAAGTGCTTGGCCTGGAGATCCTGTCCCAGCCCTTCGGTCACTGCAGAGGAGGTGTGTGGGTCTGTGCTGGGGTGTGTGGGCACACACCAGTGACAGCCCAGTCCCAGCTCAGCCCAGACTGGTGCTGCTGATGCTCTGGGGTCAGGGCAGCCCCGAGCTGGCAGCTGCTGCCCAGGGGACATGGCAGTGGCACAACAGAGACCTCTGCTCCAACACTCCTCCTGCAGCTGCAGAACACATCTGGGGCCGCAGGAACTGCTCAAGTGCCATCACAAATAAATACATTACACTGTCTGAGACCGAGAGGTGCCCCCGAAGGGCAAAGCCCTTGCAGGAGAGCCACTCCAGGACAGGTCACCCTCTCTGAGATCCTCTGGGCAGACCCAACAGCCTCTGACACAGCGGAGCCAGGACGGACCGAAGCTCCAGAGGAGCAGAAGGCCCCTGGGAAGACAAACCTTGGCAGCTCTGGCTAAAAATCTCCCAGAGTTGCAAGTCCAACAAAGGTAGAAAAATCATCTCATCCTTGCAAACAGAGAACTCAGTAAAAAAAAATTCCAAAAGAAAAAAGAAAAGGCGAGAAGGATCAGCTGAGTCCTGTAGCATCCAGGCAGCTCCAGCCCCGGGCAGGGCACGCCAGGCCCAGCCCTGCTCCTCGGCTCTCCCAGCTCGCTCCAAGCTCCCAGGCAGTGCCAAGTGCTGCTGTGCAGCCTCCCCAGTCTGGAATAAATATGCACCCCATCCTGCTGTGCCCAGCTGGAGCGAGGCTGGGAGCTGGGGCATGGCAGAGCTCGGGGTGGGCAGACAGGCTCCCCTGGGCGTGGAAGACAGGGATGGGCTGGTCGATGCTCTGAGCTCACTGTGGTGCTCCAGGGGCCGAGTGTGGGTCAGGGGCATCACCCCCTCACAGCCTGCTGAGCTGTGATGTGTCCAGAGGCCACTGCTGCCCCGAGGGCCACCCCAAGCAGGCCAGGCCAGGAGTGCATGAGAGGAGCCAATGTGAGTGCCCAGTGCCTACAGGCACTGCCAGGACCTGCAGCTCCAGCCCAGGGAAGCAGGACCAGAGCCCACGGAGAAGCACTGGCTGGGCAAGGAGGGTCACTCAGCTGTGACAGGACACTCACGGCTCGAGTCCGGAGGGAAGCCCAACTATGTGCAGCAATGCTGACAGCCCTGGGGCCTGGCCCAGCCCTGGGGCCTGGCCCAGCCCTGGCAGGGTGTGAGGGCAGGGGCAGCCCCGGGCAGGGCTGGGGCAGTGAGGTGTCTGTCCATGGCGTGGGGTGTGTGCATGCGGTGCCTGCGGCAGTGAGCGCGGGAGGGACTGCCAGGGGCAGAGCTGCAGGGTCTGTCCTGCCACGTGTCCTCTCAGAACTTGCCTTGCTTTAGCTTGTCGATGTGGTAAGTGAGCTTCAGGGCTGGGCCCAGCTTCAGCCCCATGTACTTCATCATCATGTCGCTGCGCAGCAGGAGCAGAGCCTTCCCGTCGATCTCCTGCCAGGGGGGAAACCACAGCACTTGTGATGGCACCTGAGAGCCACAGACCTACCCACGGGGCCAGGCTGGACCCAAATGCACCAGGGCTGGGTGTGAGACAACCTTCAGCACCATTCCAGTATGGACATAGAGAATCATAGCATGTTAAGGGCTTGGAATGGAGCTGAGAGATCATCCAGCCCCAACTCCCTGCCCTGGGCAGGGACATCTCCCACCAGAGCAGATTGCTCACGGCTTTAAGCAACCTGGCCTTGAACACTGCCAGGGCTGGGGCAGCCACAGCCTCCCGGGGCAACCTGTGCCAGTGTCTCACCACCCTCACAGGGAAAAC